AAACTATTTTCGTTGATGGGCTTACCTAAATCAATGCAAACCCTGAGCTGATATGGAATATCATGCTCTCTGATCTCTAAGATTCCATTTAAACCGGAATTCACGGTTCGAGCACGGCCCTTCAAAGATGCAGGTTCATAATTCAACTGGACTCTAAACATTACCCACACCAACTTCAATACATATTTGACTGTAACTCACGACTGTGATGATGTTGCTTATTGTTCGAAACGGCAGCAAGTAAGATGCGCTTAACTGATGACATGTCTTCAATGTTTCGAAAAAAGACCTTGATGTATGTCCTTCTACCAGAGGCCAAGTGGTTTTTCAAAGAAAGATCCWCTTTTTCTTCCTTTTCAATTTTTTCAACCAGATTTCCGAAACGCCTTTTTAGGAATTCAGAAGTCTCATGGAAGTTCTAAGCATAAGAAAAGCAGCTAACTCTGGCATAAATATAAAAATATGGCGAATAGATCAATTGGGATTTGAAGTAAAGGCCAGATTCTTCAAGAAAATATAGATGCAAGGCAGATCTTCCAGAAATCCATTCAGGATCTTTAATTAATGTCTGTGATAATAGGAACAAATAGAGGTACCGTCTGGATATTAATTAGCCAACCCCTTTTAGACGTGCTGCTTGAATGCTGGATGAATCCCATTTGTAGATCAATCGCATTAATTAGTGCATACTTGTCAAATAGGGCAATCGTTGGCTGTTGATTCTCGGCAGTAGCTAAAGATTGAAAGTCATCGTCATTTATTGGTGTATCTTCGGCATGGCTTTTTGTATGTTTAGAGGTTGTTTGGTTAGCTGTGTACCGATTTTTTGTATATCTTGTGGTACTGTACGATTTGGCCTTAAATTTAAGTCTTTGTCTACTATTTCGATTCATGCAAAAATTGGTCAATAAATTAAAATTATTGCAAATTTTTTCAATGAGCCATTCAAATCTTTCAGATCGATCAAGAATAAAGCAAGATGCACTTGCCAGATTATACGGCACAGGTATCGATCACCATGCTCAATCGCCGGTAAAACTTACCAGTCCTTTGATGTCGCCATTGGATCGAGCCCCATCATCTGGTACAAAAGTGAACCCCACGCCAAAGTTTTCAAACAAATTGCCTTTTATTAGAAAATCAGACAGAGCCTCGTTAAAAAGCCGAGTGGACGCCTCCATATCAAAGCTACATAAAGAACTTGCCGAAAAAACGCTTCTTGTGAGAAGCCAACAGGAAATCGATTCATATTCTAGCTATGTTCAACTTATGCGAGAAGATAAACAAAGAAAAGAGGCAACATTCAGAGGCCAGCTTACATCGGAAGAGCTTTTAGTTGATGATACAGACATTGATGGCGATGAGCTTGCTAAAAACGAATGGGAGCTAAGGGAGTTAGAAAGAATAGAGCGTGACCTTGCTATAGCACCCCAGCCTGCAGAAGAACATTCAAATGAACATGCGTCTGTTTCTGGTGAACAAGCACCAAAAACCAAATATCGATTTCTGCAAAAATATTACCATCAAGGAGCATTTTTTGCGGATGATTCTGACGGTATTCTTAGTAGAGATTATGATCTGCCTACTGAAAGTGATGCGGTTGATAAAACGGCACTTCCAGAGATCCTTCAGGTCCGTAATTTTGGAAAGCGGTCTCAATCGAAATGGAAGCATCTGAGCGCAGAAGATACAACGTCATTTGATGGTTATGGATGGTATCAAAAAAACGATCCCTTTGCAGAGTCTATGGCCTCCCGTATGGCAGGCCAAGAACACAAACGAAGTTAGCTTTCCCGATGTGTAGTGACCACTCGTTTTTGTTGGTTTGGATTTTAATATCAACCCGTTGGCGAGGAATTAATTTGCTGATTTACACGGCAAACTTTACTGCATCGCAGCCACATGTGATAATAAAAAGCGACCTTCTCAATTTCAAATACTAGACATAGGGTGGCAAGTAGCTAGCTAGGAGAGTATCAAAAATCGGATGTCAATGAAAGTTTTTTAAATTTAAATGCTATTCTTAGTGGGGCTTGGACTAGGGACAGAAAAGGATATTACCTTGCGAGGACTGGAGGCCATTCAATCAAGCTCGCTCATCCTATTGGAATCGTACACTTCGCTTATCGGTTGCATAGACTGGTCAGAGTCTTCCTATTCGACTTCACTTGCGGACTCAAGATCTATGAAATCTCTGGATACTCAGAGCGGATTTGTAAAGGCCCTAGAAAGACTTTCAGCACAATATGGCGGGAAATCAATCAGAATTGCCTCTAGATGGGAAATCGAATCTTCGAACGAGAATGCCGGATTCCTGCATGTGGCAAAAAAGGAAAATGTCGCCCTATTGGTAGTGGGCGATCCGCTATTTGCAACTACACACACAGATTTACTAGTAAGATGCAAAAGGGCATCTATCGCGTACCAAGTTATTCACAATGCATCTATAATGAATGCAGTTGGTTCTACTGGGATTTCGATGTATGCATTTGGGCCCTCAATTTCGGTTCCTTTTTTCACAGAAAATTGGCGTCCATATTCGTTTTATGAAAAACTGGAAAAGAATCTAGTCAACAAGGAGCAACATACGCTTCTTCTTCTTGACATAAAAGTAAAAGAGCCAACTGAGGAGGAGCTTGCTTGTGGCAGGGTTGAGAACCCAAAATCTTGGATCCCACCCTCTTTCATGAGTATTAGGGTAGCCATTGAACAGCTTTTTGAAGCAGAGTCGGTCATTAAAAGAGGAGTTGTTTCTTCATCCACATTGGCTGTTGGAATAGCCAGAGCAGGTCATTCTAGCCAATTAATTGCATCTGGAACCCTAACCCAATTAAGAGACTACGGTGATGCTTGGGGCGCGCCATTGCATGCCCTAGTTATTCCTGCAACTTCCCAGCTCCATGAACTTGAGTGGGATATGATTCGAAGCTTTTCTATTTAATTTATGCAGCTGATTGGCAGCAATCCCATCGTCTAAATTAAAACAACCAACTATCAAATTTATTTTCAAGTACCGAGCTATTCTGAAGGCAAACTCAGATACTGACTGCATTTCACAATCTATTTCAGATAAAGAAAAGAATCCACGTGCGCTTGATTTGATTGCTCGTGGCTTCATTCATAGTTTATGTTTCTCGGAATTTTAGTAATGATATCCCGTCTTTTAGCATGCTTCGTTTATCACACGAGCGCCATTGCTTATTCATAGATGTGAAATGCAGTCAG